AAAGGTGCAGCCCTAGGAGTGAGCCACCAGGATTCGTGCCTCCGTGAAATCAAGAAGTAAGTGCGGCAATAGTAGCCGAGGGTCTACCAGTGGGGACCGAGATAAGTAGGAGTGGGGCTGATCTGCACTGCACTTGTAGAGCGGGGAAATCGGCTGCCTTCCCCCAGCTCTGTCGCCTCCAGGCCGCAACGCACCTCCACGGTGTCACGGCTTACCTTAGTTGGGAGTCCGGTAGGAGAGGTTTGGGCTCACCCTTGCAGATATACACAGTCCAAGGTGATAAGGTTAGAAAACCACCAGGACTGTGGATCTGTGTATAGGACCTGTGCATGAAAGGTGTTTCCAATATCCGGTACAGACAAGGGCAAATCCAGAAGAGTAGTCAGACACGGTTCCAAAAGTCAGGGCAGGCAGCGAACAGGCAATAACGGAAAATCCAAGAGGAAAGTCTTAGGAAACAGGATACAACGAACTGATACTGCCCTCAGGGAAAGGCAGTGTTTTATACCTGGAGTAATGATCAATCTGCCTCAGGTGGACTTTGATAGACAGGTAGGAGCCACTGGTGAAGTTCAGCCCCCTAGTGCTGGAAACAAGGGAAGGTTCAACATTAAGCTGAAACATGAGCTGAAGTGTGATCAGAGGCAAGACAGCAGGATCAGGACACTTAAGGGCCACAGTTTAAATCCCCTGTTGGGTACTTCTGGGGCGACCGCGTCTGGCTGCCTGGATGTCACGGTGAGAACCATGACACACGGCCCTCCAATCGCCTGTGTGCTCGAAGAAGGGGTCTGTGGAATCAGCACAGTACCCCCAACCAAGGTAACGTAGTTCGGTGTGTGTGTGTGTATGTGTTAAGAGACTTCTGCCGGGGTTGACATGAGGTTCTTTTTTTTAAAATCTTTGGCATGCTTAGACAAGGTAACAATAAGAGTAACAGGATAAAAGGGGAAAGTAACAATAAGGACAAAGCAGAACCTATAAACGAGATTACAGGTATCAAAGTTAGAGGAAAACCTATAAGAGAAATTATAGGCTAGGAGGAAGAAGGAGAACCTATAAACAGAATTACGGGTAAATTGCATTTAATAGAAAAGTTTGTAAAGTCCAGGCAGGTTAGGTCCAAAGCAATAAGGAATAATTAGGAACAAAGTCCAGTCTGAAATAAAGCAGGTTGTTTGGATGAATCAGGATGGATCCAAGGTAATCAGATTTAAGCAGATTCTCAGGTATCAGAATGAGCCAGGAACAGATGTCTTGTCTATATTAAACCATAAACAACTATCAACGTGAAGGCCCTTTTGTTAGCAGGGAGTGGCCTCTTATAGCACAATTCAGATGATCATCTTAGACAGGTGTGAGAGACTGAGCTTAGACTAGTGGTTAGGGAGGCCACTCCAGGTATTGGAGTAAATAAAACAGCAGAAAATAAATATGTTTGGTTGTCAGGATAGGATCCTGACAATGTGTGTGTATTTAATTGTGTGTATTTGGCTGTGTGTGTGTGTGCATCTGGCAGTGTGTGTGTCAGTGTGTGCATCTGGCTATGCGTGTGTGTTTGACTGTGTGTATTTGGCTGTGTGTCAGTGTGCATCTGGCGATGTGTGTGTATTTGACTGTGTGTGTATCTAGCTGTGAGTGTGCATCTGGAAGTGTGTGCATCTGGCTGTGTGTGTATCTAGTTGTGTGTGTGTGTCAGTGTGTAAATCTGGCTGTGTGTGTGCATCTGGCAGTGTGTGTGTCAGTGTGTGCATCTGGCTATGTGAGTGTGTATTTGATTGTGTGTGCATCTGTGTGTGTATCTGGCTGTGTGTGTGTCAGTGTGGGTATCTTCTTGTGTGGGTGTGTGTTTATCTGGCTGTGTGTGTATCTGGCTGTGTGTATGTAAGTGTGTGTATCTGGCTGTATGTGTATCTGTGTGTCTGTGTATGTACATCTGTGTGTCATTGTGTATCTGTGTGAATGTATACCTGTGTATTTGTACCTGGGTGTCTGTGTATGTGTACATCTGTGTGTATATATATGTGTCAGTGTGTAAACGCATAAGTGTGTATCTGTGTGTGTGGCAATGCATACATCCCAGCATTTCAATGGCAACACTGCATACAAATACACTACTACATTCCTGTGTCTCTGTGTGTATCGCAGTATTTGTGTAAGTGTGCAACTGTGTGTATGTGGCAATTTATACATCCCAGCTTTCCAACGCCAACACTGCACACAAATACACCCTTGCATGTGTACCTGTGTGTACCTGAGTGTGAGTACATATGCAGGGACGTGTATTCCGCGAGGCAAACAAGGCACCTGCCTTGGGCGGCACATGACAAGGGCCCAGGCGATCCCTTGGGGGGGGCCACTTTTGAGCCCCCCCACCCCTCCCCGAGGCTGGCGGCTGGCAGCGAGGGAGAATACTCACCTGACCTCTTCCTGCTCAGCTCCCTCCGCGCCACTTAATGAAGCCGTTAGGCGGAATATGACATCACTCCGGCTCCCTGGCATCACTAAGCGGCACGCAAGGGAGCTGAGCAGGAAAATCAGAGCTCCTCACTTCCTACTCAGCATGTCTGCAGGTAAGGAATCCACTCCAGCTCTCCCAGGGAAGCTGGGTGGATTTAAGATAAAATGACATCAAAAATAATCATTTGTGAGTGTTGGGAGAAATGTGCATGTGTCTGTAAATGTATGTGTGTGTGCAGGGCCGGATTAAGAGCACAGTGGGCCTGGTGCTGACAATTATGATGGGCCTAATTATGAATCTTATCGACCAAAAACACTAAAACAATCATACCTCCCAAGTGTCATGTATCTGATGGAGATGGTGCTGGAGGGAAATTCATAGGATGCAGCTATAAGAAAACACATACTCTATGCTAATTTCTCTCTAATTTATGCTTTAATCTTTCAAGTAAGTCCATAACCCCTAACAGCAGAGTCCAGTGAAGCAGGAAGTCAATGGGCGGGGTAAAAGGGTGTGCCACTTCCACGAATCACGTGACAAGACCTGCCAAAAGGGGTGAACATGCCCAAAAAGGGGGCATGTTTGTCCAAAGAATTGGAAGGTCAGCCTGGCATGAATGCATGTCAGGCTTCCTGCCAATCCTGCAGGCTGTCCAACTAAGGGCATACTATGCAGGCAGCACCTTGACTTGACATAAATGCGTCTAATGATGCCCTCACTCTTTCTAAGGACTGTCCCCTAGCACTTGCTGGTCCACTTGTCTCCTTACCTTCTTACTAGCAGGCAGAAGGTCCTGGTATATAGTCTGAGACAGAGAAAAGGTGTCTGTAGTGAGTGTAGAAGAAAAGGGACATGCCACAGTGTTAGAGAGACCAACGTCTGCATTACCTAAACTAACTTTAATGTCAGTCAGTGCACACAAGTTTTGTTCCCATACATCCCTCTTAAGCTTCCAAACTTAAAGGGGCACTATAATCACCAGAACAACTACAGCTTATTGTATTTGGTAAGTAGAATCATTCCATTCAGGCTTTTTGCAGTAAACACTGTCTTTTCAGAGAAAATAACTCCACTGGCCACTCATTAGATGGCTGCTAGAGGTGCTTCCTGGGGCAGTACTGCCTAGTATGCAGCACTGCCATTCAGTGTCTCCACCCTTTGCATGCAGACACTGAACTTTCCTCATAGAGATGCATTGATTCAATTTATCTTTATGAGGAGATGCTGATTGGCCAGGGCTATGTTGGACTAGTGCTGGCTCTGCCCCTGATCTGCCTATTTGACAGTCTCAGACAATCCTATGGGGAAGTATTGTAATTTGCTCAGATCATCACTTCTGAGCCAGCAGCTGCAGAATTTAATACAAGTAATATTTTACTATATTTAGGGAGGCAAGAAGGGGCCAGGGTGGTGGTTTTAACATAATAGGGTAAGAAATACATGATTGTGTTCCTGACACTATAGTGCTCCTTTAAGCAAGAGTATGTGAAGAGTAGTTAAGGTTGCCACCTTTCTTGGAAAAAAATACCAGCCTTAATCATTTGTATAATTAGTTATGCGTGACATCACATGATGTAAATCACAAGGAGTGACATCAGAGAAAATTCTGTAAAATCACCAACAAACTACTCACAGTTTGATTCTGCTGTATAGATGGATTGCTCCCAGTGTCTCAGTCTCGCAAGTCACCCAGTGTCTCAGTGTCCCTATGTATCACAGTGTCAGTGTCCCCATGTCGCCCAGTCCCCTAGTCTCCCAGTGTCTGTGTCCCCATTTCTCCCAGTGTCCCAATGTCTCAGTGTGTCCCCATGTCACTAGGATACTGGGGACACTGAGAGACATGGGGACACTGAGAGACCCGGGGACACAGAGACATGGAGACACTGGGAGACATGGGGACACTGAGACATTTAGGGAGACTGGGAGAAATGGGGACACTGAGACTCTAGGGACACAGACACTGGGAGACATGGGGACACTGAAACATTTGGGGACACTAAGACACTAGGGAAACAGACATGGGAACACAGACACTGGGAGACTAGGGGACACTGGGAGACTAGGGGACACTGGCTGGGAGACAGACACTTGGGGACACTGGGAGACATGGGGACAGACATGTGGACACTGGGACATATAGGGACACTGGGAGACATGGGGACACCAGGCACACTGAGACACTAGGAACATAGACACTGGGAGACATGGAGACACTGAAACATTTGGGGACACTAAGACACCGGGACACAGACACTGGGAGACTAGGGGACACTGGGAGACTAGGGGATACTGGGAGACTAGTGGACACTGTCTGGGAGACAGACACTTGGGGAGACATGGGGACAGTTGTGGACATAGACATGGGGACACTGGGACACAAGGCACACTGAGAGACATGGGACACAGACACTGGGAGACTTGGGGACACTGAGACACTAGGGACACTGGCTGGGGGACATAGTGTCGCCGTGTCCCAATGTCCCTATGTCTCACAGCATCCCCATGTGTCTCAGCATCCCCATGTGTCCCCTAGTGTCTGTGTCCCCAGGTCTCCTAGTGTCTGTGTCCCCATGTGTCCTAGTGTCTCAGTGTCCCCTAGTGTCTGTGTCCCCATGTGTTCCCTAGTGTCTGTGTCCCCTAGTGTCTGTGTCCCCATATGTCCCCAAGTGTCTCAGTGTCCCCTAATGTCTCAGTGTCCCCAAGTGTCTCAGTGTTCCCAGGTCTCCCAGTGTCTGTGTGCTAGTGTTTGTGTCCCCTAGTGTCTCAGTGTCCCCATATGTCCCCTAGTGTCTCCATGTGTCCCCTAGTGTCTCAGTGTCCCCATGTGTCCCTGCTGCCTTTCCCCCCATCCCTCACTTACCTGAGCTGTAGAGCTGTTGTCTGGACTCTCTGTGCTGTGTAGCTGCTCCCCCACGGATCAGTGAGTAGTAGAGAGAAGCAGGGATATTCTGTAACTTCCTATCCCTGCCTCTCTCCACACACAGTGACCCCTACTGGCTGGTGCTGGTATTGCAGAGTAATTTCCATTTATTCTGAGAAAATGACCTGCATTTGTATTGCCGGTATTACTGCAATACCGGCACGACCAGGCAGCCTCAAATACCATCTGTGCCATTAAAATACCAGTCAGGTGGCAAACCTAAGAGTAGTGTGTAAAAAAAAAAAAAAAAAAATTTTTTTTTTTTTTTTTTTTTTTTGAATGGGCCTATTCCATGGGCCTGGGCCTGGAGCTGCAGCTCCATCAGCCCCTATGTTAATCCGGCCCTGTGTGTGTGTGTCTGTAAGTGTGTGTGTCTGTAAGTGAGTGTGTGTGTCTGTAAGTGAATGTGTGTGTCTAGGTGTGTGTGTCTGTGAGAGAATGTATGTATGTGTCTGTCAGTGAGTGAGTGCATCTGTCAGTGTGTGTCCAAGTAATAGTGTGTATGTGTATGTCATTGTTTGTCAGTGTATATGAGAATGTGTCTGTCAGTGAGTGTATGCGTCTGTCAGTGAGTGTGCGTTTTGTTGGTGAGTGAGCGTCTGTCAGTCAAAGTGCGGTCTTGATAGGAAGGGGTGGAAAAAATTTAAATTAGGGGGGGTCCCGAGCACCGTCCCGCCTAGAGCAGCACAAATCCTAAATACACCACTGTACATATGTGTGTAAGCGTGTATCTCTGTGTGTGTATGTGCCAGTGTGTGTATCTGAGTGTGTGTATGTGCTAGTTTGTGTGTATATGTCAGTGTATCTGTATCTCAAGGTATGTGCATGTGTCTGGGTTTGTGCATGTATTAGTGTGTTTATGTAACTACATGTTAATGTGTATATATATCTATGTTTTATATATGTGCAAAAATCCCTGCAAACACACCCCTTCACTCAAACACTTATACTACACACAAATGTACATCTGCATCCAAACACACCCCTGCATGCAATTACAAATGTTACATACAAACACACCCCTTTATTAAAATGCAAATATTATATACAAAACACCAATTCTACACACACAGCTGCATTTAAAAGCCAACACTACATACAAACACACACCCCTGATTTCAAACGCAAACACTACACACAAGTATACGACTGACTTCCAATGCTAACAGTACATACAAATATACCTCTACATTCACACACATACAAAATACAATAACATGCTTACATTCAAAAGCACAAACACTTCTCACAAATACAACCTGATAGAATGTTATTATTTTTCTATGCCTCTTGATTTTTAACTTGTTAGTAAATAAGCCCCTAGACTAACAAGCTAAGTTCTGTTCATTGTAGACAGGGCGTTGACTATACACTCCTACTATACATTGGTATCCTTTTTTTGTATGGCAGTGACCACCTGTTAGTATTTTATTTACCCTCCTCCCCGCCATATCCTGTAGGCTGCAAGAATGTGTGTTTCTATCTACCCTCCTATTTCCTTTTAGCTCCTTTAAGAACTGTGTGTTAGTACCATATTAGATGATCCAATAAGGGGCATGTATAATGCTAATTTCACATACTATTGTGTCCTACCATTAAAACCTAGTCGTATTGAACCATCAACATGTGTGTGTGTTCAATTGGGCTGCCCAGTACCGCAGAGGTACAGACAGGGCCGGACTGGGGATACAAAGCAGCCCTGGAAAAATAATTTGTGCCAGCCCCATAAGTCACTGCGCCATATATTGTCGCGTGTAATATGTAAGGCTATGTCTTGCCAGGACAGATGATTGAGTAATATATATATATATATATATATAGCTTTTTCTAATATAAAATATTGGTCCTTTCAGGGTAAAACGTTTAATTATACAGTAAGCATACGCACATGCAGACACAGGCAATTTCACTGACATTTCAGTGACACACACAAGCTCATTGATACACAGCCTCATAGACAAACAATCTTACTGATATACATCAGCTCATTGACATAAAAACACAAGCTCACTCACTAGCAGGCACACGCATGCAAGCAAGCTCACTCACTAGCAGACGCACACACACAGCTTAATGTGGTGGTACTGGTGTCTATAGCATGTCCCTACAGGCTTTTCAACGTAAACACTGACTTTTCAGACAAAAGGCAGTGTTTACATTGCTTCAAAGTGACACTGCTAGTGACAGTCACTCAGACGGTCACTAGAGGTGCTTCCTGTGTTAGTGCCCTCCCGCCCTCGCGCGCTGCTGAATGAGACTGGCGCCGGAATATGACGTCATATTCCGGCGCCGGTCTCATTCAGCTGCGTGCTGGGGAGCAGAGCCAGCGCAGCTCGCGCAGCTCCCTCAGCGGCCGCCAGGACAAGTCCGCCAGCGGCCGCCAAAAGACCTCCCCAGCGGCCAGGGGAGGGCTGGCAGCCTTAGGCCTGGGGGGCAAAACCAGTCAAGTAGACTGGTGCACCTGCCCAGGATCAGAGCCGGTGCAAGGATTTTTGCCGCCCTAGACAAAATAAAAATTTGCTGCCCCCACATGTCACATCACAATGCCCCACCCATATGACCTGCCATATGAACTAACGCCAGTGCTGCACACAGTGTGTGTTTACATTAAAAAGCCTGCAGGGACCGGCTATAGACACCAGAACCACTTCATTAAGCTATAGTGTCCCTTTAATGTGAGGTAAATTATAGATTAGTGTCACTAATAATATACTAGATTGCCTACTTACAAGCAGATGAGGATGATGATGGGCTGCAGTTTGGCTCCACTGGTCTGGTGTAGAACAGGATCTCTGGAGGCTGTTTGCAACTGTGGTCACAAAATTCAATGTTCTGGGAGAATTGGAAGCAGCTCAATTTTTTGGGGCCCCTTACACAGCTCAAGGTCTGGGCCCCAGGGCCTGACGGTGAGTATGCCCATAAGGCCCACTCATAAGTTCCACCCACCCATGAGTTCGCTCACAGGGAGTGGAGTGTGTAGGGGATGTGTTATGTGTTATTGTAGAGGATCTAATATGTGTGCTTATGGTATGTAGTGTATAGGGTTACCAGTTTGTGCAGGTGATGCAGTGGAAGCAGTGTGTATTTGTGTATAAGGGATGTATTATGTGTTTCTGGTTGTGTGTAAGGGATGCATTGTGTGAATCTGTGTTTGTATGCATAAGGGATGCAAGGTGTGTGTCTGTATGTGTGTGCATGAGATGCATTGTGTTTCTGTGTGTATGTAAGAAAAGAAGTGTGTGTGTTTGCATGCGTGTGTACGGGTTTGCATTGTCTGTTTCTGTGTATGTGTGCAAAGGATGCATTGTCTTTGTGTGTAAGGGTTGCATGTGTGTGTGTAATGGATGCATTGTGTGTTTCTCTGTGTGTAAGGGAAGCATGTTGTGTTTCTGTGTATGTATAGGGATGCATTGTGTGTGTGTGTGCGCGTAGTGTGAAAGAGCTCCCTGTCTTGGCCCCTGTCCTATAGAGCTGCCCCTTCTTCTTATTCCCCCCCTCCCCTCTTCTTATTCCCCTCCCTCCCCTCTTCTTATTCCCCCCCCTCTTTTTATTCCCCCCGATCTTATTCCCCCCTCCCCTCTTCTTATTCCCCTCCCTCCCCTCTTTTTATTCCCTCCCCTCTTCTTATTCCCCCCTCCCCTCTTCTTATTCCCTCC